TGGAGCAGCTCTGCTGGGAGGAGAGGGGAGAGAGCTGGGATTGTCCAGCCTGGAGAGGAGAAGCTTTGGGGTGACAAATTGTGGCCTTCCAGGACCTGAAGGAGCTCCAGGAAAGATGGAGAGAGACCATTGCCAGGGGATGGAGGGACAGGACACAGGGAATGGCTTCCCACTGCCAGAGGGCAGGGATGGATGGGATATTGGGAAGGAACTGCTGGTTGGGAGGGTGGGCAGGCCCTGGCACAGGTTGGGCAGAGAAGCTGTGGCTGCCCCTGGATCCCTGGAAGTGTCCAAGGCCAGGTTGGAGCAGCCTGGGCTGGTGGAAGGTGTCCCTGCCCATGGCAGGGGGTGGCACTGGATAACTTTAGGATCTCTTCCAACCCAGACCATGATTCCATGACTTTTAAACTGCATAGAGTAGCTACCACAGCCCAAATCCATTCCAAATCATTCTGTGATTCTGTTTAAATCCTACATTCAGTCTCCATGACCCTCTTTGTCTTTGGGGTCTGGGATTCTGCACAACCTTCCACCTGCATCCACAGGCAAGAGAGGAGGGAAAAGAAATTCTCTGACCATGGAAAAATTTAGTTTAAAATTAAATCTCCTGTCTTGTGGCTTCAGGCAATCGCTTTCAGGTGCCAGGAAGGAATTCCCCTCCAGACACAGCTGCTCCCACTCCTCCCTGTATTTTCCTGGGGGAAGTTGGAGCAGCCCAGATTTGGCCCAGCTGGAGGTGGATGGGGTGGGCTTGGTGCTGCTCCTCCCAGATGCCTCCAGATGTTCCCACTTCCAGGATAAATTGGAGTTTTTTGAGGAGGTGGAACCGACAGAGGTTGTTGTGGTTTTTTTTCCAGCTTCCTGCCTGGCCTGGTGCAGGTCATCCCTTCAGTTCCCTGCCTGTGAATCCACGGAGTCTGGGTCTCCCGTGGCACAGGACTCATCCTGTGGTAAAGAATGAAAGATTTCCACTTCCCCGCTGCCAGGAGAGCGGATACAGGGATTGCCAGGGAAGTTTAATGGGCTGTGACATTCAGGTTATGATCCAGGTGATCTAAGAATTTAATCTGCACTTAAAGTGTATGAATTTTTCCTCGGAGCAGACGCTGCCCTCGCAGCACAAGTGTATTTTTCAAGTGAGTAATCAGGCAGGGTTCTTTATTTGTGATGTGGTTAAAGGCAGGGATATTGTCAGGCAACGTGTGCTGCATTCCCAATGCATTCCCAGTGCGTTCCTGGTGTAACTCAGGCTTTTAGAAACCTGGAAAATCACTTTTCTGGGTGTCTTTCTGTGCATTTTTCCACAGGACAAGAGGAAAGAACCTCCAGCTGGGCCAGAGGAGGCTCAGGTGGGACAGCAGGAGGAATTTGTGGCTGGAAAGGGTGGTCAGGCCCTGGCAGGGGCTGCCCAGGGAGGTTTGGAGTGCCCAGCCCTGGAGGTGTCCCAGAGCCACGTGGCTGTGGCTCCTGAGGACGTGGTTTAGAGGTGAGATGGTGCTGGTGGGTTGATGGTTGAACCTGGTGATCCTACAGGGCTTTCCCAGCCTTCCCAATCCCCTGATCCCAGGACTCTGTGCTCTGTCCTCCTCCCAGAGCCAACAAACCCGAAGGAGCTGGTTCCTCTTGCTGAGCTCCCCTCCTGAACACCTTCACTCAGCCTCCCAGAGCTCAGGACTGGGATTATTGTGCAGGATAATTCCATGATTCCTGGGCACTCCAAATATTCCCTGAGTCTGAGTTCCTCACTCTGTCATTCCCAAGGAGAACCTTCTCACCCCCAGGGCATCCATTCCACCCCCAGCCAGCACATTAAATGCATTTTCTCTATTGGACAGAGATTTTACTATTTTTTTTTAAATTTAGGATGATAAATTATTTGGACAACTAATCTTCCTGCTCCTGCTGTATGTAGTGGAGTTTAATTTCGTTGCTACAAGTACATGTTTTGTTTCAGTTTTTAAGGGGGGTATTTATTTTTCTAATAAACTTGAGTTTTAGTCCCTGAAGGAACAGGATCCTGTTGAGAACCAGCCTAAATTTTGAGGTTTGTTTTGAGCTGTAGACATTAGTCAGAAGGTATTCAATGTTTTTAAATACTCCTTTAATCTATGAATTATAATAGATTATTATATAACATAAAATATGTCAAGATATAATAATACTATAATATATTATATATTTAAAGATTAAGGTTCTTTTAATTAACCTTAAAGGAGACAAGACCTTGTAAGAAACCATCTCTGGAAATGTTTTTTTATTTTATTTATTTATTATTTTATTTATTGTTATTCCTTATTTTATTTACTGCATTGTTTATTGTTCTTTGTTATTTTAGTTCTGGTTTTATTTTTTACATTATTTATTGTTATTTGTTATTTTATTTCTTATTTTATTTATGCTGATGCCTCTGCTGCATGCATTGCTCATGTTCCTCCCCATCTTGGTTAATCCAGTGAAAAAACTCATGTAAACTCTCATTGTTCCAGCTCTGGCTGAGCCTTTAGAATCCCATCGACACCTTTACACTCCACTTTGAAATCCCATGGAAAATGCAGCTGAACTGCTCAATCCTGCCAAACTTTCCATAGGATCAAGTGGATAATTCCCTGGAATAATGTCCCCTTGGGCCTCAGTCTCTGGGACCTGGCAGTTCATGGCTCATCCCTCGGGCAGATTGATGCCCTTGCTCAGTTTTCCAGCTTTTTCCATGCTTTCCAAAGGCATCCTGAGCAGCACTCCTGGATACCCACTGTTTTCTTGGCTTTCCATGTATTTAGGACCAGCTACCAGGTGAATTCTATCTTTTAGGTTTATTTTTTCCCCCTTTATTTCTTTTAAGCCAGCAGTTGTTTGGATTGGATGATCTCAGAGGGCTTTCCCAACCTTAATGATTGTATGCTATTATTTTTAGGGAAGAATTCCACCTGGATTTCCCAGCCAGGTCCTTTAAGATGATTTTCCTGTCCTCTTTTCCAGAGCTTTGCTCAGAGCTCTTTAGATTCGGGAATAAATCATCCCATGAAATTATTAACGGATTCAACGGCCAAATCCCGGAGGATTTATGGCCCAGGAATGGAAACAGGGTTTTTTTCCTTCAGTGTAAACCCAGGTGGCTCTTTCCTGTGGGGAAAAAATCTCTATTACTCCAAGAAAAATGAACAGGGAGCATTTCCAAGGCCAGTGGGACACTTAGAGAGACTAGTGGGCCCATCAGCTCTTAAAAATCCTTGGATTTTTTGCTGATCTAAAGGTATTTGGAACCATCCAAGCTGAACAATTATTTATGGAAATTGAAGGTCTACTCTATCTTTCTTTTTTTCAGGCTTTGGGCCCCTTTCCTCAGAGTCATAAAGAATTAATGATGAACAAAAAGTAAAACCCTCCCTCAGTCCCACCCTGAATATTTGAGGAGCCACTCCTGGGATTTCCTTCCTTGACCACTCATCCAAATTTTGTTTGTCATCCCTTCATTTGAATTGAAATGGATGCTCCTTGTGGGATGCTCTAAAAATAAATCAGAATTTGAATAGAAATATTGGCATTTAAAGTGAATATTTGAGTCACTCCAGGTTGGCAGTTTGCAGTCTTAAACTTAACTGTCTTGTTTAAATTTCAATACCTTAAGTTTCCCAAAATTGGACCAATTTTGAAGCACAATTCCTGCATTAAATAAGCCATTACAGCCCAAAGCCAAGATGTTTGGGATTATCCCTGTGGTCTGACAGCAAAACACTCCCAAGTAATCACTTGCAAATCTCTGGTTGGGACGTGCTGGGAGCTTTTGTTTTCCTTTTATATTTAATATCTGAGTCCTTAATGACACAGGCAGAAATTTTTGGCAGTTTGTGTGGTCTGACAGTCCCTGCCTGGCTGCTTAAGAATATCAGATTTCTGATTTTTTCCTCTCCAAGGTGAAGTTGCCCTAAAAATGACTTTATTTTAAAAGCAATGATCTTGTACTCTCCAAACTTCGAGCAGTGATAACCTACATTTTGTCTCCTTCTGACTAGACATTGTATTTATGAACCAAACAAACTTGATTTAGGTTTTAAAATTTAATTAATGCCTTGGCCAAGTTGGTTTTTGTGCTCTCAGAACAACCCCTGTGAACGCTCTGC